ACAGTGTTGAGGACCTGTGTTTAGCTTTATCTAAATAACCTTTCAGATCATGTCCAGGAATTCAAATTCAAGTTAGTTAATGCTATTCATGAGCATCTATCAAACTCCAAGAATTTTGACAGGTGAACACGCCTAATAAAAAGCATAAAGAACATTAGTCCAGTTGTTAAAAAGAAAAAAAATTAAAATTTAATCAATAGTCCTAATTTCTTCCAAAATTATGTTGCTTCATTTTTTGACCTCCCATTTCACATTTTAGGTGCTTAGTTCCTAGTTTTGTATAAACATCATCTGAAATAAGGAATAGAAGATTAGAAAGAAAAATGATTAAAAGTATGTGCTGCGGTTCTAGAGATACCTAATCACCTTTTTCATCTCTTAAAAGAAAAAAGCCTAATTTTGAAAGGAGATGTCATTTGTAAAATTGACTCTGTACTTTACAAGCAATGTTTAAATTCATTGGTGATAAATATTTATGTTGGTATAGTAAAGTCCCATTTTTTACATAATGCTTTAATGGAAATGGCAGTTTTATGAAATGAAAGTGACTAGTAAAAATCTGAGTGATGTTCATAAGCCTTTACATCATTTTTATTGAGGTTTTTGTGTATTCTAATTCATTAATACAGGGGAAAAGGAGAACGCTAACATGGTTTATTTCCTATAATTACTCAAATTGAATAGAATTTATTTTCAATAAAATTCTTAAGAGTAAATTGCCAGGGGTGGAGTGAGAAGGGTTGACCTGTTTTTTGTAAAATGTCTTGAGTTTTACTCATGAGGCTTTGCTATTTTACCAGTGATGTTGTTCACTTGCATATATTTTCAGTATATTTCCCTCCAGATTTTTACAAATTATTACCTATGTAAACCCAAGAAATCCCTAATAGGATTGAGTGTTGAAGAGAAATCTGGGATATTTATTTTATCCTGTTTATTACTATAAATATTGCCTTTTAATAATTTAGACTACTTATGTGATGCATATAGGTTGAAACACTATTGAGATTGCTGTGTAATAGATTAACTGAGGGGATTTCCAAAGCAGTTTAGTGTTTACAATTACAATTGGTTTATTTTTTTGTGGAGTACCTTGGAAGAAAAGGTCAATATAAGGGATAAACAAATACAGCAGGCCCTCAGTTAGCATTGTTTTGTTCAAGGTAGTTTCGATATAATGTTGATGAGATGCCTTAGGAACTGAGCTCTTGTTTATATCAATTAGCCCGTGACAAAATTGGTTTCATTATGTGTCATCTTGCTCAAAGTGGTAGGACCTGTCTCTAATGTAAAGTAAGGACTTAACTGTATTTTAAAAATTTAGGCTCCCCAACTTCATGAAGTAAGGTGGGGAGGAGACAATAGAAGTTGAGTTGAAAACAAGTAAGTGTTCTTAATTTCATCACAGTGTAATCTTGCTAGCATCCCTTTCTTTTGCTCTCAGTATACTTTAAGCCACCTTAGAAAAATCTGTTTCTTTTGTTCTATATTTGTAGGCAATTATGAATTCTTCGCATTTTATCTGAAGAGTCTTCCATGTTCTTGAGGCAGAATTTTGTTGAAACTCGTAACTTTAAGCTTATGTCTGGAGAGCTTTAAGACATGGTAGTTTATAACTCACCTTCAAATGGTCAGTAAATACTTTTTTTATCCCCAGGCTTTACATTTGCAAGCATATCCCTTTTTAGGTGAGTCTTTGTGTAGACACACATTTTTGCCTGTTTTCCTCTCCTTTCCCCCAGCATTGTGGGGCTACTTGAGCTGGAGCTATGCCTATGGAGTTCTTGTGATTGGTGATTCTTAAGTGAGGGCAGGGAATGTAAGTAGGTGGTGATAGTGCCTATATAGGTTTGTGTGTCATTTGGGCATGATTGCATGTATGTGTTTGCTTTCTTTGATCCCAGAAAACTAGAGTTGTGTTCAGCTGTTCTTTTTTTCTTTCACCATTGCTGAAGCGATCTCCACCCGAAGCAAGTAGAGAGGCCTTCACGGGAGCTCAGACTCTCTCCATCTTCATTATGAGTCAGACTGCAGGCTTTAGAGAGTGGTGAAGGGTAGAGTCACAGAGAGCCGCTGCCTCTATAATCCCCAAACACTGCCACAGCACCGTAAGTCCTGTTTCTACCTTAATGCTAAGAACTTAATACAAGGATGGAATGCTATCAGCATCTGGCTTTTCTCATGGTAGTTGAGAATCCTCTTGGGCCACAGGGTACCTGCCCTCTTGTGTAAGCTTTTATTTTGCAATAAGGAGATGACTTAGAATGTAGAGAGAGGGTTGTTTGTGCTGGAGTCAGCAGGTCAGATGCACTATCAAGGACTCTTGCCTTTCTGCATATCTGGCCACAGCTGCTTTTACCCAATGCCTCCCTCCCACGGCTTCCAGCCTGACTCCCAAAGGGAGGGCTGAAGGCAGCAGCTATTATAGAAAGGTAAACAAATGGACAACTTCTCTTTAGGCATTTCATTCTTGGAGGTGTCATTGCACATGAAATGAGAATAGCGTTTAGTACAAGTAACCCCAAAACAACAGATCCAGTAATAGAGTTGGTTCTTTTTTTTTTTTTTTTTTTTTTCAATCCTCACCAAAGGACATTTTCTCTGTTTTTAGAGAGAGGGGGAAGGAGGGAGAGAGAGTGAGAGAGATTGTTTGCCCCCCCCCCCCCGTACACACCCCCCAACCCCAATCAGGGCTGGGGATAGAACCTGCAACCCAGGTACTTGCCCTTGACGGGAATGGAAGCCAAAACCCTCTGGTGTGCAAGCTGACGCTCTAACCACTGACCCACGCTAGCCAGGGCAAGCTGGTTCTATTTTAATGACACTTGCATCCCTAAAAATCACCATACTCTGCAAGTAGCACAGTAAAAAACCACAGGACTTGCAAGGGGGAAATGAAGTTAGGTGCGTAATATTCAGGAACTTTGTTGTGTACACACAGACACACACACACACACACACACACACACACACACGAAACTAATAAAAGCAGTAGCACAGTTTTGCACACATTAAATGGGTAGGAAATACAGAAATATTACAGTTAAGTATGGCACTTTACCTCAAAAGACCTGATGTTTACCCATGGAAGTGGGCATCTGAGGAAGGAGGGTCATTTGCTATCGAGGGGACTATGGGAACACCAGGTGTGATGGACATGGTTCCTAACCCAGAAGGTGGACTGAGGCATCGGTAGGTGGTTAAGGTGTGTCGGAGGTGTGTATTTCTGTGCGACATGGTTCAGCAGGGTGCAATTTTCTGTGTTCACCTAGCGTTTCTTGCAGACAAAATCACGCATAAGCAAATGTGGAATTCATTTTATGCTCAGATTGTCCCCCTAATATGCACATCAATCACATTGGAACAAATTCACGGTTTCAAAATAAGCTTTATAGTAGAACCAACTGTAGTTTATTTAATTTTGGAATTGAGTTTCTCTTCCTTTTTTCCTTTCTATCATTATTGATTTCTTAATTTATATTTAGGTTGAGCCCATACCAGATTGATTTTTCATACCCTGAGCACCTCTAGTGCAGAGAAAGCAGCCTAAGATTTTAATTTTGCTAGTGGTAATCTATGAAGTAGTTTTCCCTTTGGTGAAGGAATCTCTGTATATCTGTGTGTGTGTGTGTGTGTGTATGTGTGTGCGCGTGCGCGCACACACACACACACACACACACACACACCTTTCCTAGATGCCCGGCACAGTGCCAGAGAGAGAAACCGGGAACAGTATTATCTTTATCTTCACAAGCTTATAGTCTCATTAAAAAGTTGTCAAGTCATAGATTCAAACATCTGTGTTGGTTGGGTCTTCTTAGGGAACATCTGACAAAGCATCATTATGTATTTGTTAGTTTGTGAAACCACACCCACACACACCTTCCACCCTATCTCCTACGTCCTTGTAAAGAGCTTGCCTAGAGGAAACACAGATGTTATTGGTTTACATGGTGAAAAGATATAAATTTGAAAAGGACCTAATAGGTCTCATAGTTCAAACTTCCCACCTAACTTCTTAAACCCAGTGGTCATGTTTCCATAGTAGATTGGTAAATGGAAAAAAAGCAAGTTTCAGAGCAGTGTGAATAGTATGATCCCATTTTTGTTAATGTTCTCCCCCTGCATGCGTATGTATGTACTGTTTGTATGAGCATAGATGATGTGGAAAGATCTCCCATATTGTTACCTCAGGGTACAAGGGAAAGCTTATTAACTTCCTCTTTATACATCTTTTATTGTTTGACTTGTTTTAAGAAGCATGTTTTACTTTTTTAATTAAAAAATCTAATAAAGTAGAAAATGAATAAATAATAATAAAATATACCCTCAGGGCACTGAGCTTTCTTTCAATCTTCCCAGTAGCCTGGGTAGTTAAAACTGAATGTGACGTTTCAGGTGTGGGCTGCTCAGCAGGACTATGAACCTGCTGTAGCCCAGATATCATGGACTCTAGGGCAGTACCACTGTATTGTTTATAGACAGTTAACACCTCAAAGCCTTTCTTACATTTGCCACTCTGCACACTCTGCCAGTGACTATCACTGTGCACAGGTCTGGCCCTTTACACTCTCCCATTTAGCTTTTCTCTTGTTATTGTGGAAATCAGTATTCAACATAGGTTAAGAGCAGGCCTTGGTTGGAATCAGGCTGCCTTGTTGTAGAGCGTAACTATCACTAACTAGTGTTACAACGTAGACAAGTAATGTGTCTTCTCAAGCCTCAGTTTTCTCATCTGTAAAACAGCAATAAGCATAAAGTTGTGAGGGATGTTGGAATGCTCACCAGATGCCTGGTGGCAAGGTGAGAACATGTGAATTTTACCTGCTACTGTTAATGCACTAACCTCGGCTCATCTGTATTTATGATAGTGAGAGAGTTTTGGATCTCAAATCTTCCCTTAACCATATTCCATTATCCCTTCCAACCTCAGACTGTAAATCAGTCTTCTAGACTTTCCTCCTGAGATCCCCAATCAGTCTCTGTCTCTCATTCCGTAGGTCCCTTCACTGATGTTGTCACCACCAACCTAAAGCTTGGCAACCCAACAGACCGAAACGTGTGTTTCAAAGTGAAGACCACAGCACCACGTAGGTACTGCGTGAGGCCCAACAGTGGGATCATTGATGCAGGGGCTGCGATTAATGTATCTGGTAAGTCCTGAGATTGGAGGCTGGAAGGGTGGACTAAAGAGGCCCCCTGGAGCCAGTGGGATTTCTTAAAGGTTGTATTTGCAATGTAGCAAAATAAGATGTAGATTTCTCCCCCCAACCCTCCAAGCTCAGTGGGTCCCTCTCTCACCTGTTGTTTTTCCATAATTAATGCCTCTTTAGTTTAATGCTTACAGCCTTTGCGCCTCAATGCTTAGAGCAAAATTGCAATGGTAACTTCAGACTTCAGAATGAGTTTGATTTCACTCCCTTGAAATTTGCCCTTCGGCAATAAATAAAAAAGGGCCAAACAAACTTAATTTTACTTTGTGGGAGAAAGCTAAATGGAGTTATTTTCTTATTTAAGCTAAATGATTTCTGACATTAAGCTCATGTCATTTCCAATGACTGGTAACTGCACTTTACTGATTGTGAAAAGCTAAGGGAGACAGGGCTAAGGAAATTGGAATATATTCCAGGGTGTGAGTTTTGTTCGTGTCTGATGGGTTTTTCCCCTTCTGTCTGAGAGGGAATATTTTTTCCAAAGTCCAACTTTTGAAAAGATGCTGGTAAAGTGCCCAAATTGAGAATTAAATTTCAGAATTAAGGAGATGAAAGTGATGGGTTTGACTTTAATATATTTTAGAAATGGAATAAACTTTTAGCTCATTAGAACTTCTGATCCAAGGATGCCTTTGTGTTTGTGAGGAGCTGTGTGGGCGTGTGTGTTTATCCTTTGAGTATCTAGGGAGACAGAGCCACAGCAGGCTCTGCATCATTAGAGGCCACTACTTGTTGGAAATGGGTACCTGGCTGGCTTTTTCCATGACAGATTTTGATTATGATGCATTTGGCTATTCACTTGACACCTGAAAGAAAATGATTCACTTCTTTGGAAAGATATGAGGTGTTTCATTATCTGATCATTTCTGCAAGCTCTTATTCCCTGCATCCATCGGTCTCTCTCATTATGGCGCGCCCACACCAGCTGTCCCCCTGTGTGCTTCTCTCTGAGGCTGCAAAGCCTGATCTGGACTCTTGACTCAGCTTATTATCTAGGAGAAGTCAGGAGAGTAGGAGCCCACATTTATTGGGAGTGTCCAACACTGTGGGCCTGCACACATATTATCTCCTCCAACTTCTGTTCTCTGCCCTGTGAGGAGTGCACTGTCACCTCCATTGTACTAAGACGGACACTAGTGGCTGTAGACTCAGGAAACTAACAAGTGATAGCAGGGTGTAGATTATTCTGCCTAGCTCTAAAGCCCTAGCTCTTTGAACTGTAGCAAGCTGGAGAATGCAAGTGGCCCAGGGTGTTGGTGTTTCTGTAGTCTTGGTTGGTTCCACAGGTTTAAAAACACATGAGTTTCCATTTTTCTGTTGAAATTAAGGGCAGCCTAATCTTCCATTCCCTTCTTTTATTGACTTTTTTTTCTCGATTTCTGTGCCCATATCAAATTTGAGCAAGATTGTCAGTAGATGAGAATTACCAATTTTCACAGTAACTGTGGGAGCAGCAACATGGTTTTCTGAATAAAATAGTCTCAACAGGCAGTTGTACAGTGTAGATGTTCTTTCTGATATTATAAGTGTTTGTGTGTGTGTGTGTGTGTGTGTTTCAGAAAGATCCATCCCTCTCCATCATAGAAATGTCTTTTAAAGTAATAACTTATCCTGGGCATTTGTTTTGATTTATGATTACCTGCTTAAGGAAGACCAAGAAGTTGGGGGTGTGGCCTTCCTTTGGCAGATGAAAAGGGAAGGTGCAGATAGTGGGCATGGTCATCTAGAGCAGCGGTTGCCAACCGGTGGTCCACGGACCACTGGTGGTCCATGAGGTCCGAAAGGTTGGCGACCACTGACCTAGAGTCCCTGGGTGTTTAGTGCCAGAGCTGGTATTTGAAGCCAGGTGTCTTAGCTCCTGATCCAGTGGCTCTAAGCTGCCTCAACAGTTTTAGGGGAAGGTCGCACTTACACGTGAATGTCAAACATAAAGTGCCCTATTTCTCAGCATGTGATGTACTTGGGGGAAAGCAATTGAATAATAAACTGTGTGTCTGCAAGCTTTCCTTCTAGATGGGAAGGATTATGCTTTGCACATGGAAAAAGGCTCCTTGGGTTTTTTTTGGTGTGTATTTATCTCAGTGTTTGAGGTGCCTGGGGATGAGGTCAGATGTCGGTGCATTTCCAGGACCACCCCACCTGTTGCCACAGAAGGCTGACACCGGTTTATTGCAATTTTATGTGCTGAGAGGCTACTGCATCATTAATCAGACATTCATATCTTGAGATAAAAGCACTGCACTTTTCTAAGGGTCCTGAATGCAGCTACACAGTGACATCTTAGCGAATATGTGGTGTTTTCGGGTTTCTTTGGGGGAGAAAACATCCTCAGGAGGGTGAATTGCAGCTTGTCCAAAGGCCAGCCTTCCCTTCTCCCAGGTGCACGTGTAGCCCAGGTGCACTCCCAAGTGCACGTGTATATCACCTGCTCTACTCAAAGATATATTTGAGGTCTGGAAACCTGAATAGCAAGCCCAGCTCTGCTATGTAACTTGTAGCTTGATCTCTGGCCAATCAATCAACCTCTGTAGGTTGCGGTTTTCTCATTTGTAACATGAAGAGTAGTATCTGCCTCACAGAGTATTTACCATGCTGCTTTAACTGGGCATGGTACAAGGGACGGATTCCAATAGCCTTGAAGTAAACTGGCTAGTTTGTTGTTGCAGGTGGATTGTACATACTTGAATTGCTTCTTAAGAAATAAACTAATTTCATTTCATTAATTTTTGGACTTTTTCTGATTTCAATAAGAAATTTGTATTTTTCTTCTTTCTATATTCTGCATTTGTTTTATAGTGAAAAGCTTCTACTAAATTTTCAGATATAATCTATAGAAAGGTGGTCATCGAATCAATTTAAAATACTGCCAGGACTGCCCTGCCTACCACGCAGAACGTCACAGCATACCTGAAGAGGACGTGGTCTACAGGACTTGTCTCCCTGGTCTGAAAAGCTGTGGGATGTGTAGCTGTTTGGGAAGCTTGTAAATCACTCCTGGAGAGGGGAGTGGGCAGGGAGAGAGAGCAAAGAGCAGGAGGAGGCGGCTACCTACCATAGAGCTGGCTAGAGGGACTGAGGTTTTGAAGGCCCACAAACCAGGTTGAGATGTGGGAGCAAGAATTTCTAGCTGTCAGATGTTTTTCAGATACACTCTGTGAGGCTCTTCTCAGCTTTTAGAAAACCAGCATTCAAGGGACCTTACTTTTTTAGTCAGAAGTCCAGATTCTGACCTTTCATGTTATTATCTTCATAAGATGGCAAATCACTTATTAGGTCCTTTAAAAAATCTACCAACTTTGTTTTATAAACTTAAGTGGTAAAGTTATGGGTGGAGATAGGCATAATCTAAACTTTTTGTGCCAGTAGATAAAAATGTGGGGGCATCCCAAGGCGTTTTGGAGCTGTCTACAAGGGCCTCTGATTTGAATCCTTTTATTTACACTTTACGGAGGTGCTCATCTCATCTCATTCTTACAGTGGCCCCTGCGGGGGCCCATGCCTGTTGGATGAGGCATTGTAAGGGGGGGGGAGGGGTGGCAGGTGTTTGCTGTTTCCATTAATTGACCAGAAAGCCATGATTTTGTCCCCTTGCTCTCTGATACACACCATCTACTAGAGATGGCTTTGAATTATTCAACTCTGGACCTCAGCAAGATAGGCACACTTAAATGGAGATCGGAAAAGAGGAGATTGGATCCCCTCCACCCCGCCCCCGAGATTTTAAATGCAAGGAAAATAGAACTTTTTGAATTAATGAAGTGTTTGAAGCAGTGGGGGGTCTCCCCATTTGTTCTAGCTTTACAAAATTAAATCTATTTTCTGAACTGTCTAGTGGGAAAATATTTTTAAGGTAGATAATTTCTGAAAATGTCTTTGTGGTAAGCTGTTAGTGGTTGTGGATTTTTTTTTTTAATGCTGCAGTTTAATAATGAGGGAGTTTTCCATTAATATTCCAAACCATGTTTGCCAGCGGATACAGCAGGTGAAGTGGTAAAATTATGGGCCCATCAAAAATACTTACGCTTCCTGTAATATGATATTAAGTTTAATATTTTTATAACCTTCACTGAATTCTAATTTCACTAAAGTAGCAAGCACACTTCCATTTGCAGTTCAATTATGCACATTGGTTGCCTGTGTACCAAGCAAATTAGAAATGCAAAATCTCTCTGTGTTAGGAGGGGCACTGGGAAGAGTCATTAAAGATACCAGTATTTAGGTACAGATACACTTTACTAAGTGTACCCTGGGAACTGGAAATGGATGAGAGACAAACACACACAAATCTCCTAGTGTCTGAATATGTCATTTAAATTATAATTCAAAGAATCCGGGAGCAGTATTCATTACTGACAGATAGCCCTTTTCAGCACTTATATCAATCACATTTAAAGCATAAAGTTCTTCCAGTAAAATCCTGAGGAAGGACAATGAATATCAGCATCTCTTCTTGGATGGAAACATTGGTCAATTAATGTAATTGGGTAGCATCGCAGTTGGTAATTAATCCTTTTAAGAGTTTGCTGACTCAGTGTGATGAAGCTGTTGGCTTGCCCTGGACCAGCCAACCTTGGCTGCAGCTTGTAGGTGACCAGCACCAGAGTGCAGTTGCACTGCTCCAGAGGAAGAAGTCTGGCGTTGTCTGTCTCCTGCTGATACATGGGAGCTACATTTGTGAGGTTTGGACATCTTCACAGCCATGTTGTTGTTCGTTTGCTCATTTGTTTTGGAATTGAAGTCTCTGACAAGAGAAACATTTTATAAATTGTTTTCATGAACCAGGTTTACTACTCTTAGATAAGAACAACTCACATTCATATGTAAAAGGTATCTTTAATCTTTTTCACCCATATGAGATTCTAGATTTATAAAAAAAGGAAATTACCAACAAAAATTCAGCCTAATTGTGCTTTTAAATATTTTTTTTAAAGTTTACTGTA